GATAAAATAAATGGATGAAAATGAATTAGATGAATAAAATGGCACATGTGATAAGTATCAGTGACACAGCAACCTAACAACATACTACAAATAGACATCTGACATTTTAGATGCCCCTTTGAACTATTTCATTATATTCTTTTGATGGACAGTTCATCCCATATAGCCTTCACACAATTTCAACATTTGGTAGATGGTTCACACAGCATAGCTTCACACTTTTTCAACATTTGAAGCATAGTTCATACCTTATATTCTTCACACTGTTTCAACATTTGAAGCATAGTTCATGCCATATAGTCTTCACACTATTTCAACATTTGGTGGATGGTTCATACAATATAGCCTTAAGTCCTTCACACTTAGTCAACTTTTGGTAGATGGTTCATGCAAAATAGCCTTCACACTTAGTCAACTTTTAGTAGATTGTTCATGCAAAATAGCCTTCACACTTTTTGATCTTTTGGAAGATGGTTCATACAATATAGCCTTCAAGCTTTTTCAACTTTTGGTGGATGGTTCAAACCATATTGCATTAAACCTTTTATCGTCTTTTCAATGGATGGTTCATACCACAAACAACAATTTCTCATCTTTTGTATAACTGTTCATTTCTATTACTACAGTCAAAGCAGGCCTTCACAGTTATTGATGATATGTATTCTATCAGTGTAATAACCAATTCAAATAATTTGCTAGAATTTCTCTAGTTAAATTCACTACAACAATATCAGTTCAAAGATAATGTGTTCATATTCTGATTTAAAAAAACAGTGTTTAATTTTTACGAATTGCGAAAACAAATAGGAATGTCATGTTCTTGGTCCAGATAAATACTACCTTGTTAGGAACCACAATGAATTGAATAACAAATACAGAGTAAAAATAAGGAAAATGCTGGTCATTTGTATCAGCAACATCATCATTGTGTAAGGTAAAATTATTTTTCAACAGTCATTCAATATTCAATTAAGAACTAACAGTGCTACCTGCAATCTTACATGTTCTGGTACTCATTTATAGAATTTATGTGGAACCATCTAAATGACCAGGGTGGAACATTTAGTATGCCTAATATCCAGATCTGTTTCTAAAAAATAATGTTGATGGACAACTGGGATCTGTAACAAAAGCAATGCATTATGTTTTCTTATTGGCAACTTCCCATTCTTTGTTTTAATATCTATACAACTTGCTCTAGCTTATGGTGATGTTTTTCATTATTGCAATAAAACTCTATCGTAGATCCTATATATCAAGTAGTGTCAATCTGACATAACTACCGGAGTTGTCATTTTCCTGGTTTTGTCATCACTTATTGATGTGTCTTTGGAATCTTCTGGCAGGAGATGCCACATGGTCTAACTTTGTTTAGAAATTGGATTTCACAAGGTTCCCATTATTTTACCAATCTTTTTCTTACCTATTATATCAGATTACCAGGACAGTTCATTACACCCCGCCTTTAATTTGTCATCGTTTGGTAGATCATAACACACAACATTTAGCTTCTCATCTTGTTGGCTGGTGTATAATTCGTATTACATGGCCTTCACACTTTTTTCTGTTTTGAGAAGTTTCTGCTTCTTATCTTTTAATGATTAGTATAAATCACAAACCACTTAGCCTTCATTTTCTAGTCTTTTGTGGATAGTTCATACTTCACACTTACCATGAGCAACACAACGGATGACAAATGTGTAGCAGAATATGCTTACACTTCTGGAGCACCTGATATTACCCCAAGTTTGTAGTCAGGTTTGTGTTGCTCAGTCGATAGTGCTTTAATGTAGTGTTTCGTAAACTGGTGTTTGTCCTTTCGTAATTGTTTAGATTTTTGTTATGATTTTGTGAGTCTCTCTTTGAATCTTCTGCCTTTGGTTTCTTCTTGTTTTCTCATCTTTTAATGGTTTGTTCTAATAACATATCATGTAGTCTTCATTTTTCATCCTTTGATAGATAGTTCATACCACAAAGCTTTCACTTTCTTGTCCTTTGATGGATAGTTCATACCACAAAGCTTTCACTTTCTTGTCCTTTGATGGATAGTTCATACCACAAAGCTTTCACTTTCTTATCCTTTGATGGATAGTTCATACCACATAGCTTTCACTTTCTTATCCTTTGGTGGATAGTTCATACCACAAAGCTTTCACTTTCTTGTCCTTTGGTGGATAGTTCATACCACAAAGCTTACTTTCTTTTCTTATGCTGAATAGTTCATTAGACAAAGCTTTTACTTTCTCTTCTTATGCTGAATAGTTCATTAGACAAAGCTTTTACTTTCTATTCTTTTGGTGGACAGTTCATTAGACAAAGCTTTTACTCTCTCGTCTTATGATGGATAGTTCATTAGACAAAGCCTTTACTTTCTCTTCTTATGCTGAATAGTTCATTAGACAAAGCCTTTACTCTCTCGTCTTATGCTGAATAGTTCATTAGACAAAGCCTTTACTTTCTCTTCTTATGCTGAATAGTTCATTAGACAAAGCCTTTACTCTCTCGTCTTATGCTGAATAGTTCATTAGACAAAGCCTTTACTCTCTCTTCTTATGATGGATAGTTCTTAAGACAAAGCTTTTACTTTCTATCCTTTTGGTGGACAGTTCATCAGACAAAGCCTTTACTTTCTTTTCTTTTGATGGATAGTTCATTAGATAAAGCTTTTACTTTCTCTTCTTATGCTGAATAGTTCATTAGACAAAGCTTTTACTTTCTATTCTTTTGGTGGATAGTTCATTAGTCATTAGACAAAGCTTTTACTTTCTATTCTTTTGGTGGACAGTTCATTAGACAAAGCCTTTACTTTCTCTTCTTATGCTGAATAGTTCATTAGACAAAGCCTTTACTTTCTCTTCTTATGCTGAATAGTTCATTAGACAAAGCCTTTACTTTCTCTTCTTATGCTGAATAGTTCATTAGACAAAGCTTTTACTTTCTCTTCTTATGCTGAATAGTTCATTAGACAAAGCTTTTACTTTCTATTCTTTTGGTGGATAGTTCATTAGTCATTAGACAAAGCTTTTACTCTCTCGTCTTATGATGGATAGTTCATTAGACAAAGCCTTTACTTTCTCTTCTTATGCTGAATAGTTCATTAGACAAAGCTTTTACTTTCTATTCTTTTGGTGGATAGTTCATTAGTCATTAGACAAAGCTTTTACTCTCTCGTCTTATTCTGAATAGTTCATTAGACAAAGCCTTTACTTTCTCTTCTTATGATGGATAGTTCTTTAGACAAAGCTTTTACTTTCTATTCTTTTGGTGGACAGTTCATTAGACAAAGCCTTTACTTTCTCTTCTTATGCTGAATAGTTCATTAGACAAAGCCTTTACTTTCTCTTCTTATGCTGAATAGTTCATTAGACAAAGCCTTTACTTTCTCTTCTTATGCTGAATAGTTCATTAGACAAAGCTTTTACTTTCTATTCTTTTGGTGGATAGTTCATTAGTCATTAGACAAAGCTTTTACTCTCTCGTCTTATGATGGATAGTTCATTTGACAAAGCCTTTACTTTCTCTTCTTATGCTGAATAGTTCATTAGACAAAGCTTTTACTTTCTATTCTTTTGGTGGATAGTTCATTAGTCATTAGACAAAGCTTTTACTCTCTCGTCTTATGCTGAATAGTTCATTAGACAAAGCCTTTACTTTCTCTTCTTATGCTGAATAGTTCATTAGACAAAGCTTTTACTTTCTATTCTTTTGGTGGACAGTTCATTAGACAAAGCCTTTACTTTCTCTTCTTATGCTGAATAGTTCATTAGACAAAGCCTTTACTTTCTCTTCTTATGCTGAATAGTTCATTAGACAAAGCCTTTACTTTCTCTTCTTATGCTGAATAGTTCATTAGACAAAGCTTTTACTTTCTATTCTTGTGGTGGACAGTTCATTAGACAAAGCTTTTATTTTCTATTCTTTTAATGAATAGTTCACATACCACAAAGCGTTTAATTTCTCTCCTTTTGGTGGATAGTTCATACCTCAAAGCTTTTACTTTCTCTCCTTTTGGTAGATAGTTCATACCTCAAAGCTTTTACTTTCTCTCCTTTTGATGGGTAGTTCATACCTCAAAGCTTTTACTTTCTCTCCTTTTGGTAGATAGTTCATACCTCAAAGCTTTTACTTTCTCTCCTTTTGGTAGATAGTTCATACCTCAAAGCTTTTACTTTCTCTCCTTTTGATGGGTAGTGCATACCTCAAAGCTTTTACTTTCTCTCCTTTTGGTAGATAGTTCATACCTCAAAGCTTTTACTTTCTCTCCTTTTGATGGGTAGTTCATACCTCAAAGCTTTTACTTTCTCTCCTTTTGGTAGATAGTTCATACCTCAAAGCTTTTACTTTCTCTCCTTTTGATGGGTAGTTCATACCTCAAAGCTTATACTTTCTCTCCTTTTGGTGGATAGTTCATACCTTAAAGCTTTTCCTTTCTCTTCTTTTGATGGATAGTTCATACCACAAAGCTTTTACTTTCTCTTCTTTCTTTGTTGAAATAGTTATTTGTTTTATAGTGATTAAGATTATAACACAATTTTGACTGCTGTACACCAATTTTTGACATTTTTACCTATTATGTCTGTTTGTTATGCTTACACATTGTTGTCAATATAATGGAATTCTATGCGACTGTCATACAAGTGAGAGATATAGCTAGCTATAAAACCAGGTTTCATCCACCATTTTCTACATAAGGAAATGCCTGTACCAAGTCAGGAATATTACAGTTGTTTTCCATTCGTTTGATGTGTTTGAGCTTTTGATTTTGTCATTTGATAAAGGACTTTCCATTATGAATTTTCCTTGGAGTTCAATACTTTTGTTATTTTACTTTTTTTGATGGATAGTACATACCACACTGCTTTCATTTTGTTGTCTTTTGACTGATATACTTCATACCACATTTTCTTTATTTTGTTGTACGTATTTTTCCACCCCCTGCACTATACCCTTTCTTGGTCAGCAGTTTATTAGTAAGTCAAATATTTTTTTTATGTTTTCAGGCAAGCTACACAGATCCACAAACAAAACTGAGATATGCTACCGCCGAAGAATATTCTAGGATAAGCATGATGCCCAGTGACCTAGTTAGTGGTTGTCTAGCATTAAGGAAAGCTAATGCCCCTGTGCCTTGAATAATAAACTTTGAATGGTACAAATGTGTAAAAACTGTGATATTGCGGTAAACAGCTGTATTACGAACTTGTAAAAAGTTGGGTAATATGTAAAACCAACCATGACCATGGATAAAAAGTAAATAAAATGTGTACTTATGTTAACATTCTGTGCAAAAACTTAGTAATATGAAATTATCTTCATAGTTCAGTAAATGTCAGACATATAAAATTCTGGTCTTTTTATTCTCTGTATCATACCTTTTTTGTCATTGTCCTACTTTATTTATCTTTGATTTATTTGTTGTTATCATCAGAAACATTAATGTAACTCAAAGGATGAATTGACCTCATTTTTCTGTTGCAGTGAATATTTTAAGGATTATGACCTCCCTTTTCTGTCTTAGTGATAGTTGTCAAGGTATAGGACCTTACTTTCCCAGTTCATTGATCATCCTCCTGCCTAAGTCACCATTGTTAAGTTTGATGACCTCATTTTTCTAGCACTGTGGTTATTGTTAAGTGATGGATGTGGCTATTTTTTTAGATTCTTTTTCGTCATCTATCTTGTCAACTGTTTCGTTTGTTATACATCCTTGGCTTTCCAATATTCGGCTTTGATAGTTCCTGATGAAGGTAAATCCAGAAAACAGCTTAGGACTCATGAGATTTATGATGTGTTTTTTTTTTCATTTTTATGCCCCACCTATGGGCATTTTGTTTTTTGGTCTATGCGTGCATGCGTCTGTCCGTCGTTCATCCGATCGTCTGTCTGTCCCTCTTCAGGTTAAAGTTTTTGGTCAAGGTTGTTTTTGATGAAGTTGAAGTCCAATCAACTTGAAACTTAGTACACATGTTCTGTATGATATGATCCTTCTAATTGTAATGCCAAATTAGAGTTTTGACCCCAATTTCACGGTCCACTGAACATAGAAAATGATAGTGCGAGTGGGGCATCTGAGTACTATGGACACATTCTTGTTCTACCTGTTATTCAGTCAGTTTGATATTAATTTCTGGATGCTAACTCAAACTCTTTATGTTGGATTGCAACCTTGCAAGATATATGATCACATGTAATAAGAAGAAGATCCCTATTGATTTTTAGGTCGCCATATCAAATGTCAAGGTTGTTGCAACTAGATATAGACCGAAATTTATGCATAAAAATGGCTTCCAGGTGGTCAATCAAATACTACATATGGGATTGCAACCGCATACACTTGAATAAATATGGTCATAAATAATGAGACGAAGAACTTGGTGCTTTGAGGTCGCTATGTCTAATGACCAGGTCGTAGTTTCATATAATAGTCTACAATTTGTGTGGAAAATTAGTTTTGGGATGCTAAATCAAATATTACTATTTGGATTGCACCCTTACTAAGATATATCATCCCTATTGATTTTGTTAAGTTCCTTGGGTCAAAGGTTAAGGTCAAAGTTACGCCCCTCTTTTTCTAAAAACATATATATCTTTAATCAGATTCTGTAAGTTAAAAGCTACAAAATAAAAGCTCTCGAGAGTTTTTAACCGAACACATGCAAACATATACAACAAAATAAAAACTCAAACATGCAAGCAAACTAAAAATTAAGAAAGCACAGCCGACAAACATGGCAAAGCAATTTATACATGCTGGCATAGGTAATAAAAAACACAGTTATGGAAAACAAGCACCGTGAAATAAAAAGTAGGCTTATCTGCATGCGGAACAGCGACATTCCGAGCCATTTTCGGACTGTTTAAGACTCTTGAACTGAGAAAAAACTGGTGAAATGGTTCGGAAGATTGCCTGTTATCCGTCCTGGTGAAATGGTTCGGACGACTGCCTGTTATCCATCCTGGTGAAATGGTTCGGAAGGAGGGTCTGGGTGAGGTTTACAGAATAGAGAATAATGGTCAAATAATATAATGACTACAGACAAATCAGCAAAAATAGAGAATAATTGGGTACAAAATTATAAAAAATAACTGGAAAATATGGGTAATACTATACTGATTACAGTTATAAACGATATACAAAATAAAGAAATCAAATAATTGCAGAAAAAAATGAATATTTTACCCAATAAGCGTTATTTTAAAGATAAAGACAAATGCCCTAAAAATTTAAAGAATACAGAAAGCAGCAAATTGTTTTATATGCATTTCCTAAGAAGTCTGCAAAATCTTATAATGATAGGTCAAAATTCGATCGAATATCTGTTGGTTTGAATATTTATGAAATGAATATACGAGAGAACTAAAGCTGTAATTGTGATAGCAATGTCTACAAAACCAAACAAATATTTCACAAGAGATGATGAGATCAACCAAATAAATGCAACTTGAAAGAGGTTACTGAGGAGTCTTCAGCAATATACACACCACTTAACAAAAATCTTGGAGTTCAAACTCAAAATTCCATCGGAATACATGAACAAGTCTACTGATATTTTGATTCAGCTATAGATACAGAAACGTTTTTATTTTTTAAATAACTGAACAAATTCACTGTTTGGACATTTTTACATGATACGTTGTTATCTAGAAAATTTAAAATCTTGCTTTCAATGGGGCAAGTAATTGCATAGTATTCCATGTGCCTTTGATTATTTAATTTACAATTAATCTCTCCATACTAACATGCAGTATAATTTTTCCAATATTTCATTGTTGATGCCAGAACGTGCGATGAATTTGGAAGGTCTGCAAACACTTGACTTTAACATTGTTTCTAACACAGGCCACACTTCAGCTGTCTGTTTATATTTAAATAGTTTTCAGTGAAAACAAGGGAGGTAGTGCTTGTTTTTGTTTGATCTGAAAAGGAACAATATCGTACAGGTGTGTTAATGAAGGCTGATGCTTTACAACAAACGTTATAAGTTTCATGTTCCTTGTCCCAAATAGAATTATTGAAGATTGGTTCTTTTTGTGAATATTTGTGAAAACTTTGGTTCGTTTTTTTAAGTGTTTGTATACAAGGAAATAAAGGGTGTTTGTCAAGAAGATAGCAAACCACTACACAAAAATAAAACCAAAATGTGTCACAGTGAGAGTCTTCAACTATTTTATATTCCAATGTTAGCTCCCAATCTCTCCAAGTCTAGTCAAATTATGAACAAAAGTGGTCATAAGACAACAATTATTTGGCGCCTGAAATTCAAAATTATGAAGAAAAAAAAAATTGACAAACTAATGATATTGCTAGGAAATTCGGGAAATAATACCAACCATTGTCCACATAAAGCCAAATTAAACTTGATTAGAGGTTTAAAAGGACAAGCAGATACAAATTTGTACTTTATATATAGTGATATAACAGCCCGGCCCATGTCAAACAAAGTGAACCACAAACATTATTCAGATGAAAATATTAAATAGAATGTGCAAAAGTACATCATGTAACCATGGAAGTATATTGTGTTGATACTGTATAATACTTCCATGAAGTGACTAAGATTCTACGAAAGTTTCACAAAATTCTGTCCAGGGTTCAGGAGCAGTAGCAGATACAAAAGTGGGCGGTAGGTCTATTCGATATATGCTTCTAAAATAGCGGGTTAGATTTAACTAGGATGATATAGCGTGGTTTTTTATGTGCACAATTTGCGTATTTCAGAAATGAACATAGACTATTACGTGCTATATATCTAACCTGTACACGTAACTAACCGTCTGAATTAAGGTTATAACAATAAACGAAAAGTGGCTTGATAGACGGAAACCAATGACAATCACTGGACTATACACCTGGCTTTGACGCGTGAAGAATACTGTGTCACGGTGTGGAGTTGTACTTACATCAGTCTTAATGAAATAAGAAGATGTGGTATGGTGGCTAATGAGACATCTATCCATCAAAGTCTAAATGACGTGGATTAAAAAAAAATGGTCACCTTACAACCTTCAACAATGAGCAAAACGGTTAACTCATAGTGTCGGCTATGAAAGCCCCCGAAATGACAAAGAATGAATAATTCAAAAAGTAAAAACCAACGGCCTGAATTATGGCAAAACAATAAAAAACAAATATGACAAATTTGACAGACAACAACTGAATACCTTAAAACTAAAAAACCGGGAAAATGGTCTCAGTTGAAAAGAAAGTGATTTGTAAGCAAACATAAGTTCCTTAATAGCGTGACTGTCCAATTAAATTTCGGATGAATTCTTTCAATTAAATTCCGTGGTTTTAAAACACAGATAAGTTACTGTGACTGGCGTGTGGTAACTCGAACGGTTCCAATGAATCCAACCAATTAAGATACTTTTAACCACAATTTGATGTTACTGTCGTATGTTGACTCTGTAACGGTTCCTGTGAATCGAATGTTTTATGTATATATTATCTGTCAAGTTTACAACAGATGACCAATGGAATACAAAACCTTCAATCATTAATATGCATAAAATACTTTTATATAGATAAAAAATATGTGTACGTTATAGTGATATTCTAAAACAAATTACGACTACAATAAATGTAACTTTAAACATGTAACCGTATATCTTCTTTCTGTTTTTCTAGCTGACCGGAAGAATGGTCGTCTGCAAACATGCATCAAAACGTCGCATTCAATATTATTTCCAAATGATAAATGACGTTTATAAGTGAACCATTACCATCTTTAAATTCCGAAGAACGGTAGGGAAACCACAGAATACCAAGGTGACCAGGTCAAAGAGAGAACTTGATTGAAGATCTGTCAATGCGTGGTGTTGTTTATGTATTTCAAAGACGCTTGACGTATGTGATATAGATCGGTCATCTCAATCAATTATAAAGAGTTTTACCATAAGTTTGAAAAAAAATCTACGAAGATCTCATGATACAGAAATTAGAAAATCTATTAAATCGGATGAAATATGTCATAAACATATATCTACATTGACTTATCACTATCTTTTAGTTGTTTTGGCATTATATGAATTAAACCAGAATAACATTACTAAATACTCAAGATTTGAAATTCAATTTGTAACCAACACAAGATCATCCATACAATGGAAATTGAAGTTAACGACATGAATAATATGGAATATTTTATTGAAACGAACTTGAAACAAGATCATCATACTTTTTTGGTCGAGTCTGTATTTCGTTGTCATCGTCGGTGGCGTCAACATTAAGATTTAATCTGTGGTTAAAGTTTTTTTTAGATATCAATATCTTTGCCAAACCGTCATGGAATTTAACGAAACTTGAACAGAAGCCTTTTTATGATCAAGATAGTATCCAGAGC